TAAACCGAATTTTAATTTGGCACAAATTTGAATGATTCCCGAAAACAAATTGTCGGAGGCCTTCACCTATCCCACTTTTTTCCCTAGTGGAAGCCGATGTTGCTCGTGAGGATACATCGACGAGCAAACTTGGTTTCCTCTAGGGGAAAAATCAATGTAGAGATTAGGACCTCCCCTACTGATTAATAAATTTATTTCGAATACTGAAATAAATGTTAAATCGAATATTAATTTGGCATAAATTTCAATGACTCCGAGTCCAAGTGGTAGGTCTTTTCCTTACATCACTTTTTCCCCTAGCAGAAGCCAAGCTTGCTCGCGAGGGTATATGAAAAATCAGGAAACTTCGCGGTGGAAACACACAGACGCGATCGATTTCCGGTGGATGCGTTTAAGGGGGTCGCAAAAATTCAACAACGATCGTGGTTTCACGTTGACGTCGACGATCCTCAGTGGACGTTTTTATTCTCCTTGCATTTTTCCTCACCCTCTTATCCCTTCTTTACGACCTTTACGCGATAAGATTTAACGGGCGCCCGCTTTTGCTCCGATATATCGAATCGATCGTTGATGAAACTGGGCTTAAAAGAATGTTCCACGGGAAAAAGTTGCGTCGATTGAAAATACGTTGGTTTTTAGTCAAGAGCATTCACTGGGGATCAAACGATCGATCGATCAATTCGTAAGTATACTTAAATGATAAGTAGACGGTGGATTTTTATGCAAATTGAAATCTTTGTGGAACAATTGATTGAATTAAAATTGCGTCAAAGATCTGTTTCCTATATTAAAACTTTTCTTAGGTCCAAAATAAAGTAGAATTTACACTCACTTTTCAGAAAATTTTTACTCTGTTGCGATCCACACATTCGCGTTTACGATAAATGCATAAAATCCACAGCCCAAAAAATAAGATTTAGCTTAAACGAATATCAACTGACTTACGTTTTCGTGTTTGAAGAAGCAGAGCATCTTCAGCTCCCTGAAGACTCGTTTGCTGCTCACGAGGCTTAGAAAGACGTTCGGCAGTTTCTTCAAGGCCACTCTCCTACCGTCCCTCGGATCCGTGACCGCCCTGTAAATCATCAAAGAAATCGTTATTCGATTATCCAACCAATAAACGACGTGCATCGAGATTAAGCTATCCTGTTTTGAAGGACAAAGTTCGAACAAAGGATCGAAACTTCGAGGGGTGGTTCCACCCCTTTCAAATCGCATCACAGCCGATAAAAAAAAAAAAATACGTATCCCTTTTTTTTTTTTTTTTTTGACTGTTTAACAGACATACGAAGTTTCATCAAAATCGGAGGGGGACACTTCCGTGCCTTCCCTTGTCAGTCGTAACGGTCCCCGAAGAGTCTGCGGCGACGGGGGGTTTGTGGGACCATAAATTTCGGGGAATATCTGTCGATCCGAAAACAACCTCGAAAGGGGTGGTAGTCCCTCAGCCGCGGGGTTAATAACAGAAGCAAGCATCCCAACGATCGATTCGTAATCCGTGGACCACGGGGCAGACAAACCACGGGGCGGTGCACCCTTCGCCAAGGGTGGCAAGGGGTGGGTGTCTCGTCCGCGGAATAATTATTGTGCCTGCAATTAGTGCGTTTACGGTGGTTCGATTTCATTGTCGGCCGGTTATACCGCAAAACCGACGATTCCAATCCCTTGTTTTCATCCGCCAGTCAATCTAGGATCCTGGACCCACCCCTAGCCACCCTCCTAGACCGGCGACGAACTGCCCAGACAACGGCGATAAAGTAATTTCGATACTTTTCACGGGGTGAGATTGCCTGCTCGACGCTGCGACAATAATGGACGTGAATGAAATACAAATGAAAACTATCTTTTCACTTTTTTTTTTTTGTTTAAGTAATTAAAAGCCAACATAAATTCCGTCAAAAGCACCATTGTACTTCTAGTAACGGTAAATCAGTAAATCTGCAATCCGCCATTTTGACGGGTTTGGTAGTTCTAGTGTCGATAAATTAATAATTAAAATTAAATTAACGATAAATTAATGCAGACTTCGAGACATATCGCGAAGCAAGGGGTTCCAGCGTCTGATCGTGCGCTAGAAACTTAAGTTTAATATGTTTCGTTTAATTTCAATTTACAATTAGAACTACCAGTATCCGTCAAAATGACAGATTCTAGATTTTTTAGATAATCGTTGTACAAGTTGAAGAAACTTTAAAGTCGATTTTCTTGGAAACGGAGCCCCGGGTGAGAAAATGTTATACCAAATTATTTTCTTCTTTTTTAATGTAGAATCAGCCCCTGCCCGGTTGTACTACGATTTCCGGCCCACCCTGTATACAGTGAGAGTCAGCTGCACGTGCATTCATGTGTATTTCAGTGGAATCCTGAGCCAAAATATGTATACAGCGAAGGTGGTTAAAAATTGTTTAATGTAAATTACTTTCAATCAGTTACGTCCTCCACAATCACCAAATCTCAATGTAATAGAGCATCTATGCCAAATATTAGATTCTCAATAGAGCGAAATAACCATGAATTTTTTATCACTTTTGACTCTCACTGTACATATTCGTTTTCCCTCGATCGATCCCTCTTCTATACTGTGACCTAGTAATCGGATAACGAGGGACTAAGAAATTCCTGTTTTTCCAATAAAATAACATTTGGTCTCGAACGAATAGTCACTAGACAGATAAAAATCTGTCGTTTTTTAAATACCAATTCTACTATGTATCAATAGATGTTGTCGTTCACTTTAACAATTCTGACCTGCCTTGTTTTATTTTACTCTTTTCTTTGTTATTCGAAAACTCTTTATCCAGATAATCAATTCACCAGTCTCTGGTTAAAAGCCGCGAGATGAATTAGCGTGGTCGTGGACAGGAATTAGTCGAAGCAGCCGTGATCTAATGTGTGTGCGCGCGTGCCTTCACGGTCGTTCTACTCGAAATCCGTGGCTTCTCACTTCCGTTATGGTTCGCGTCGCGGGGCCGAGTGCGTTGACCCTTTTCGAAGGTCGTCGTACCTTTCTTCGTTCGTGACTCGGTTCTGTGAACCGAGCTTTACTCGGCCCGGGGTACGACGACTGGATGGACTCTCGACACTGCAACCGGAGCCACCGATAAGATAATTAACGCCACTGAATTCGGGCCCTGATAACCGAACCAACCGTGGACCCGTTCGATTCACCGATCGTTCGTTCTCCCCTCGATCCCGCGAATAACTTGTCGACGATTTTTCGTTTTTCTTGTTCGTCTCAACGAAGACAGACAGATAAAAGCATCGTGAACTCGAATTAACGCAAGAACTACCAGCAGTTAATATATGCTAAGTTTAATTTAATTTAATTCATACGGGTGAGAACCTATTTTTACAATATTTGATTTAAAACGTTACGGTACACTAATACAATCATTATCAAATGAGATATAATGATATAATAATTATAAGAATAGAATTGAAATAGATATAAAAATACATTGGTATTTAACCTAATAATGATAACAACTATGTTTTCGATTTCCGGCCCACCCTATATAGTAAATACCGATGCTGTAGATTGCTCCGAAGAAGTTCCGCGGTTTGCTCTGTCGGTGTCTGTTATGGAGAAACTCTTCCGTTAATTGTGTATCACGGCGGATCGTTCCGACTGTGTCTCGCAAGCGGACGAGTTTTAATTCGACGGGAACGAGGCAAACAACGACAGCTGCGCCAACAGGATCCCTCCCAACCTCGTGTCGTCGAAACACGAGTGCAAATGAATCGGTTTAGTGTCCGATAACGAAGCTAACGACTTCGACCTGATTAGCTCCAAAATCGTCGTCATTCTTCCCTTTTTTTTTTTTTTTTTTCGTGCGTCAGCCGCCTAGGAGCTGTCTGTCAACCTATCTCTCGATGCTAAACAAATCGGAACACACGATCGGCCACAGGAAACATTTACCTCGAGTGTATCGAACTCAACACATCGACAAATAAAATACATTCTTGTAAAATCGGAACACACGATCGGCCACAGGAAACTTTTACCTCGAGGTGTATCGAACTCAACACATCGACAAATAAAATACATTCTCGTAATTCTCGATTGGGAAACTGAACGTGAAATTCGTTCGATTCACTACACGGGTAATTTCACTCATAGTGTCTGTCTATAATTGACTGTTTCTACTTGTATTAAGTACGCCCCCTTCAAATGATTTCTCGGAGCCCTAATATTCTTTTAATAGTTTAAATAGTTTTTTTTTGTATTGTTTGTCTTCTCCTTGCCTTCCCCTCCCCCCACCTCATTTGTTATTTTGCACCCCCACAGGTTGACAATCACTGCCTTAGAGGGTTAAATTCACAACGTTGCGATTCGGAAATATAACTATGATACATTTCGTAATATAACCAAAATACAACACTTATTCCATGGTGTATTCGAATGTACATACAAGGTGTTAAAAAAAGGGGGGGGGGGGTCCAAAACATCAAGATCCTGAAAACAATCCTTTCGATGTAAAATCAACTATTACATTTACAAGCATTTGCTGTCGTTCTTTCATACATATCAAAGTGTCTCGACACCACATTATTTCGTTCCTAGGAAAGTGAAGTTCCCGAAAATAATCCCATTCAACGATTCCGACGACTATATCATCGCAACGCCAAAGAGGAAAAACAAAAAAAGAAGAAGAAAGGGTTTACAAACACCCTCGTTTTTATTTCATTCTTTTTTTTTTTTTTTTTTTTTTAAATCAAGCCCAAAGAGCGCCGCTTTATCAGACGCGAAAGCTCGTGGAAGAAGAACCCAGATAGACCACGGAACGGCGGGAGGGGGAGGAGGGAAGCTCGTAACTTTCCAGAAAATTGTGGTCGACGCAGGTAAATCGCGCGCGAGACTACGCTTCCTTTATTTGCTTTGTTCCCCCGCGAGCGGTATTTTTTTCTCTCCCTCCCCCCACCCCTACCGGCTCGGATGTCACGCGCGGCGCAATTTATACTCGGCGGCGTTTGTTGATAACAATGTTGCGCGTATAATAACGCGAGGGGTCACGTGGCCCGCCGCAGAGAACCAGTTCTCCGATGGGACGTCCACAGGCATACACAAGTCAGTACAAAATAGGGATGTTCGATTTCCTTCAAAGAATCGATTCTCAAAACGATTCTGAATGAATCATGGAGAATCGATTCCCTTCAAAAACTAATACAAATTTTTAAAAAATCGATTCAAAAATCGTAATATATTTCATATTAGATTAATTCTTGATTTCAATGTATATTTTTCATGATGTATATACATCTTCTCTTATATGTGCCAGACATAGATGCCTAATTTTATAAATATTAAATTCTATAAATGTTAAAGTCTATAATGCTAAACGAGTTTTTTATAGCATCATTATATTCAATTGCTTTGCATTTATGGATCTGACATAAGGAGGATATATGTACATATACGTATGATTAAATAATCAAGTAAAAAAATTTCGGAACATTCGATTGTATACATAAAATATTTATTTCTTATTGCCTTGCGTATGAACACCAGCGATCTCGAAGCGAAAATGAAAATTCATTATAAATACTATTCAGAAATTTATAAAAGAATTTTGGAAAACTTATCCAGTTTTTCAGTAAAAGAATCGAATCGGAATTAAACATCTCCAGTACAAACTCACGCACACAAGTGTGCCGTCGACAATGTATGACAGACACCCGACTTCCTCGAACCGTCCATATCGATCCAAGACGAATTTAGACTCGATTAAATTACCCCCGACCGGAGCCGTTAATTACCGTGCGATCGAATTACCATGGCTGAAAAGGCAGAGACTCTGAAGAGAGAACCTGCTCGTTATTTGTTTCTCTGTGAGAGTTTCAATTTTTGCGTTTTAACAATGTAATGGTATGTACCAACCCTCCCCCACTACGAACAGTACAGTAATCCTTCTATGAGTGTTCGAAAGAACGTCCCGCATGAATGTTTCTGCATCATCCCCATCATTGGGGAGGACTGAGAGATGACTAGACTGCGGATTTATATGCAAAATGACATTTTCTAAATTAATTCATAAAATCAAAAACAAAGATAGGAATTTTTTTTCTTCTTGTAAG